AAACTCAAATAAATAAAAGTCGGACGCCCAAGTGCTCAAAAAAATAAACCGAGTACACTAAAATGATCAGTGCAAAATATATGACTCGGAAAAATACCGTTTGGCCAGATTTTAAAATAAATTTTACTCGATAAAATGTATTAAATTGTCCAAAATGCGACCGAAAAGTGGTCGAAAAATTTAATTGAACAAGTCAGGCTAAACTACGACAAACGTAGATTAATATGACTGACGTTTGAAGGCTCGACTTTAAAATTTCCCGTCCGCTGATTTTTCACAAAGTTGACTTTTAGTTTGACCGATTCGGTTGTAATTCCAACAAGTTTATTTTAGTTGATAAATTGGGTATTATGAAAAATGACAGACATGATATGCTATACAGGCAATGCAAGAAAAATATGAGGGTAAAATTTGGGGTGCAACAATTTTCTTTGATGACTACACAAGAAACCCCCAACAAAACCCTTTTTTCAAAGTATCTCACTATGTTTGCCAAGGCAAACACCTTCGTCTTCGGTATGGCCCGTTTCGTGCACCGGCAGTTTGGTCCGTCGTGGTTTAGAAACCCTTTCCCTGGTGCTTCGCCATAAATAGCAGCCATGTCCAATTCAGTGTGGCAGGCGTTCCTAACTCTTACCATGTTGTCGTTTCGAATCGAGACGGGGAACAATGAATTCAGATTTATGAATTATCAACCCAATCTAGTGGCCTGACAATTTGGTTTAAGCCAAATGCTGTTGAAGTCTTTGGTGTCGCACACCTCTGATATCGTGTGGGCTGGTCGACAATTAAACTTGGCAGGTCACAAGAGTTGCCTTAAATTTTCTAGGTCGACTCAGCACCTTGAGCTGCCAGTTTTCTCCTTTTAATCTTCTTTCTACACCACTGAAGCTTTCGACGTTTGGTGGTCTAAATATTAAGACCAATGTTTCGACTTTGATCTCTTTCTAGAGAATATGGTCGATGCTTTTGTCGCTCTAGAGGATGAAGCTCATGGAAAAACAATCTCTATTCCTGTTAAAAACCCGTCAAAAGCTGGTGTCTCCGAGGATCCTAAAAATGTACCTTCTTTACTTTCCTTCTCTGTCTTTCAATTGTCACCATCTTATTCTCTCTGCTTCTTTCCCAGGGTCAAAAGAGGGAGCCACCTGTAGCGTCGACCTCTACTAGGGTGACGGAGAAACCAAAAACTCTCAATCCTTATGTATCACTTGCTCTTTGGTGGCTTGTTTGATTTTTTCTCTCCTTGTCTACTCACTGTTTTTCGTTTAGGTCACTAAAAAATCATCGGCTACTGAAGGCGGTGTTTCTGACGAAAGTGCCCAATCCCGGGTCTTTCTTTCTGATCTGTCGAACTTTCCGCCTGCCACTCCCTTGGTCAAAAATAAAGAAGCTCCTATAAAGAGGACTCCTTCGAGAACGGTCACCTCGATAGTGAGGCCCGTTATTCCTGGAAACTTAACTGAAGTTTTCCCTACTGCAGCTACCAAACTCCCTACAGCACAAGATACTGCTAAGGTATTTTATAGTCCATATATATATATATATATATATATATATATATATATATATATATATATATATATATATATATATATATATATATATATATATATATATATATATATATATATATATATATATATATATATATATATATATATATATATATATATATATATATATATATATATATATATATATATATATATATATATATATATATATATATATATATATATATATATATATATATATATATATATATTCCTTTTCTATATGGGTATCTTATTCATAATGTACTACGCAGGACAATATGGTCGACACGACTGTTAATGTAGATGTTGATTAAACCATAACGACTACTGGAAATCCTCATGACTCAACGCCTCTGTTTAGCCCTCAAAAGATCAACGAATTCCAGGGGATGTCGACAGAGGAGAATCCAGTAGCACAAACAAACTCTGTTGAGCACACAATTGAGTTTGATGGAGATAATGCGACCATTGGTGAAAAAGGTAATCCTGTGGTCATCCCAGCCTCTGTCGAAGGTGCTCCGACTCCTCGAGGTTCAGCCAAGGTGGCCCTTCTATTGGCAAGATACCCACCCCAGCAAAAATTCTGGCTATGAATAAACCCAACCCAGCAGAAGCCTTGAAGGCTCTTCTCAAACTTCTCCAGTCAACTGTGGACGCCACCCTTGCTGGTTCGACGGCCACTCTTAACCCAGAGATGGATGATTTGTTCAAACTGAAACTTCAACAATTGAAGACGTATCTATTTGAGGACAAATTCCTAGATGCGGTGGCAGAAGAGTCGGCGGTGGCCTGCGATATTTTTTATATCCTGGATGAATTTTCTCTCTTTAATGTACCTCCCCCTATGGCCAAATACTTTATTGAGTTTGAGGCTTTCTTTACTCAGCTGGCGAAGGACCTGTTGATGTATTACCAGATTGCTTGAGAGGGCCAGGTCATTTTCTAATGGCTTGGAGGTTGATTCCTTTAGAGGCTAGAAAGAGCCAGGATTCTCAAGAAGGCAATGGAAGGTATCCATTGTGGTTGTAATCATTGATGATTATTGGATTAAGTCCTTGTCTAAGGCAAAATCACCTTGGTGGATGGACTGGAGTAGCTTCGTTAACAGTGAACCAGGATAAAAATAATTGTGTCATTTATTTTTATTGTCATTGTTAGATTTATCTTTCTAATTCCGTAAAAGGGGACAAAATGTGAAACTCAATTCAAACCCCGCTTTCTTGTGTTTCTCAACCTTCAATATGACGCACCAACTAGAGATTTTTCATCCATCATGCAAACATCAGTGTGAACTAAATCTAGAATATTTGACATTCTATGATGACCATTACTATTAAAGAAAACTCTATGTTGCTTACCAGAAAAATAATGAATGCATGTTTTTAGAGAAGTATCTTTCTCACTCAAACGACCAACGCGTGTATACCATAAATTAGTATATGCATCTTCAAATGCATTCACTTTCTCGTTGCATATCTTTACGGGAACCTTATAAAGAGTTGTGGGACTTTTCTCTTTTGCTATCACTAGTGACCCTTTGGTGATCTTACAAATGCCACCACTATCAAAGTAAGTGTGATAACCTTTAATATGCAAGGCTTTGATAGAAATTAAGTTGATAAGAATAATAGGAATGTGTCTCACATTCTTCAATTTAAGCTTGCATCCAAATAAAAAATCCAAGTCGAATCTTGACATACAAGGTTTATGGAATTATCATCATGAACAATATAGATATCACTATCATGTGCAACTGCTGTCGTGTCTTTATCATTTTTCTTCTCATTATCTTCATCTTTTTCTCTTGAATATTCTCTTTTAAGAAACCTACAATTCATTTTTATGTGTCCCGCAAAAATTGTATCATATAATTTCTTTTCTAGTTCTTGAATTATCGTGGCTCTCATATTATTCACGCTTATGAAAATTTATGGTTTTGCTTCTCCCCCTTGACTCGGAAACTAGAACTTCAGAATGATTAGGAGTAAGAATCAAACCACATTCCTTTCTTATAACTTCTTTATTAGGTATGCTATCTTTAACTGTAGAAATTACAAGTTTTCCATTTGGAGCTAAATTAGTATGTGTCACAACAAGAACTTCCCAGATATCAGGTGAGGAACTGAACAATAATAAGGCTTGCAACTCATCATCCAACTTAATATCAGTAGCTTCCAACTGATTCGCAATATTCTGAAACACACTCATATGCCTTGCCATTGAGTCACCATCCATGTATTTCATATTACTAGTTTCCTTATCAAACATGCTTTATTTTACATGTTCTTGTGCTTATACAATATTTTATTTCATTCACATTTTATGCACATTAGTTTCAGTTTTAACATGTAAATATATACCAAAGTCCAATCATTGTCTGATTATAGCAATTGTCTTTTGATTCGTCTTCTTCCATTTAACATCAGACTTATCACTTGGTTTACCCTTTTTCCATATCAATATGACCATACAAACCTTTGTTGTATAATATATCTTCCATGAGAGTCATCCATAGTGTATAGTTAGTAAAATGCACAAAATAAGCCAACCAGAGCTCTCGATACCATTTTATTGAAAAATTATCAAATAATCAAAACATTTTCCTCAAAAAGAGAGAATAAAAACCATGGGAAATGGTCCAATAAAACTTTCCACTATATAAATAATAAGTATGCAGAAGTCTTACTAATAGCACTAACGAATAATCATTTTCACCTATAAACAATAAAGGTGGAAAAACACACTCAAAACAACTCCTCTACAAAATGTGAATATACCAAAACAACTATAAGAAAAAAATAAAACACTCAATTTTGTTATTTTTTTATCACTTGTACTTTTTCCTCTTCTCCATTTTAAGAGTGATTTTCAAAATTATTTTTATAAAACAGAAACTTTACACATCAGGATTGTAAAATTTGGTCGAAATATATGATTACCAAAAAATACTTAGAATAAAAAAGAAATCTAAAGAGGTGTTAAAAAACCTAAAGGGAGGAGAAATTATCTAATATATGTAATAGTAATTTTCAATCCAAAATATTTGGGCCATTTTAATTGGTTTGGGTCCTTTCGTAAGTAACAATGCTATTTTCCCTAAAAGTAAATGGATTTGTTAAATAGCATAACAGTGATAACAAAGGAGTGTAAAATCGAAAAACAAAAATTGAAAATGAATCGTCGCCTGAGAGATTCGAACTCTCGCGGGGAAACCCCATGTACTTAGCAGGCACACGCCTTAACCACTCGGCCAAAGCGACTTGTTGATAACATCTCAGCCAAATATAATTTAAGGAAATGATTAACAGTGATAATTTATGCTCTGATAGTTTACAAAAGGAGACTAAAAGTAAGCCTTTTGTTTATATGATATACAATTAGGCACAATAAAAACATTAAAAGATTTAATTTTTGGTATTTTGGAGAGGAATGGATCAGTATGAAGAAAAAGAAAAGACAACATTATATATACTTCTGAATCATTTCTCTGACTTCTTCAATAACTAGCCATGCCTTATGACCTCCAATCACTTCTGCTTTCATTTCTCCATCTTTCCAAAGCTGCAAACAATTTAACTATTCCATTTTATTTTCTTAAATTTTGGATTATTGTATATGTATAAAGATTAATTTAATTGCGAACACACCTGAATTGTTGGCATTTTCTGAAATGCATAGCAAACAATGTGAAAAAGAGTTTAAACAAAAATGTAACGAAATGTTGGCACAAAATATCATAAATATATATACTTACAGAGATGTTGCCACGTTTGACTAGAGACTGAGGTACTTTATTAACATCCACATAATAAAATTTGGTTCTGCAAAATAAGAATAATAAATAAATTAGTAGGAAAAAAAAATACTTGATCAAGTCTATTAAAGTGACATCACTAGTGAATAGTTTTACTTGGTGTCAAATTCAGCTGCTAATTTTTCCAACTTGGGCTTCAAGTATATGCACTTTCTGCACCAAGCAGCCATCCTATATTCACACAATAAAACAAGTAATCAAATTAACAAATGAAAAAACAATATTCCAAAATTTGCAGAAATTTTATTGGTAAAACATGTATTAAGTCCATTTCAAATGTATGTGGGGGTGCAATACAGATTGTGAGTGTGTAGGTAACGTCTACAAAATTTTAAACATTTGAATTACCAAAATGCCACAAAAAAAGATATCCTAAAATATCTAGCTACAGTCACTCTCACTGCACCTCATATTTTAACAAACAACTTAGATCCTATCCAAGGATAAGATAGAATAAAAAAACTCTCAACAAAACCTAATTCAACTAGTAAAAATCGATATTATTAAATTGCACTGTCATTATAAAAATTGTGCAAGAGCAAGATAATGAAGTTATCTAAAAAAAAGATTATGCAAGATAGAACAAGAGAAATACCAATCAATAACAACAGGCTCAGAGTATTGTTGAGCATGAACAAGAATTTGATCAAGCTGTTCAGAATCATTAATAACTTCCATTTCAACTGTACTTGGTCTTGAAAAATCTGGCCACGTAGATTTCACACGAAAATCTCTTCTTCCAATCTTTTTTTCTTCTCTCTTTCTGTTTCTGTTTTCAATCAATATGTTCCCAAAACAACTCTTACGCCACAACAGAGAATCTTTGCCACTTACAAAAGAGGAGATACAGTGTTCATCTCTATGGTGAAGTTTTTTGTATACAAAATGTGAATAGGATGCTATTATAGACATAACCCTTTTGCACTGCAAGACAAAATTACAAGATAATGATGAATAATTAAGGACAAAAAATTGAAATTATTGTTAAGTTTTGGTGTTTCGGTGGAGAAGGCATGGATGGAGATGGATATGCTAAGAAATGGAAAGAGAATTGTGTGGAATTTTCGTTGGGTTTTGGGTGGTGTCAAGCATGGAAGAAAAAAATAAGGAAAAAGAGAAGAATGTTATTAGATAAAATATATTTAGAAACATGGTGCAAGTTGAAGGAGGCTTATCCGAAAGAGGAGGATAGAAATATTTATTATATTTTGGGGAGAAAGAAAGAAAATATGAATTGATCGCGGGTCCACGCACGGTGCAAATAAAGCTCCAATACAAGCAACTTCTAATTTTTATATAAAAGACTTGGACCACAAGTTTAACACGATTGGGACAAACCTCAATACATTGTTATGCAAATTATTCTTAAGGTTATTTATGAGATTTTGGGTCGACTTAGCATACAATTTGCTTTTCTTTTAAAATTTGCAATACAATTCTTAAATGTTCTTCATGCTCCTCTTGAAACTTAGAATAAATCAAAATATCGTCGATGAACACAACCATAAAACGATCCAACTGCTCATGAAAGATACGATTCATATATTCCATAAACACACTCGGCACATTAGAAACTCCGAATGGCATCACGAAGTATTCGTAATGACCATACCATGTCCTTAAGGTTGTCTTCTGAATATCTTCCTTTTTCACACGAATCTGGTGATAACCTGATCTCAAATCAATCTTGCTAAAAACACGTGCATCAACCAATTGGTCCATTAAATCATCGATCCTTGGAAGCGGATACTTGTTCTTAATTGTCACCTTGTTCAATTGTCTATAATCGATACACAAATGCATACTTCCATCTTTCTTCTTTACTAATAATACCGGAGCACCCCAAGGAGAAACACTAGGCCTTACAAATTTCTTGTCTAACAAGTCATTCAATTGTTTCTTCAATTCTACCAACTCCGATGCCGACATACGGTACGGTGCCATCGAAACTGGTCTAGTACCCGGAACTAGATCAATAGAAAACTCAACTTCTCTTTCCGGCGGTACATCCGTAATATCCTCCGGAAACACTTTTGGAAAGTCACACACCACTGGAAAAACATCAAGTTCCATCTTACTCTCCACTGACAATGATGCAAACAAACCGAACAATTGAGCTTCGTCCGCTAAAAGTTTCTTCAACTCTTTAGTGGATAGAAAACTCACATCTTCATCATCTTCCAAAGAAGGAAACCTCACCAACTTGTGATAACAATCTATATGAACTCGATTAAACTGCAACCAGTTCATACTCAAGATCACGTCCAAACCTTCCAAAGGCAAACACACTAAATTCATGACGAAGTCTCTACCATACATGGTCAGAGGACAACTTACACACACCAAGGACGTAGTTACCGACCCTGAAGCAGGAGTCTCAATAACCAACTCACCACCCCAAGAAGTCACACACAAGTTCAAACGCTTAGCGCACTCATGAGAAATGAATGAATGAGTCACTCTCGTATCAATAATAGCAATTAAAGGCGTACTATTAATAAAGCATATACCTTTAATCAGACGGTCTGCACTGGTAGTATCCTTTCCAGCTAAAGCAAACATTTTACCACCTGTCTGAGCTTGCTTCGGCTTAGTAAACTTAGTACTAATATGTCCCAATTCTCCGCAATTAAAATATTTCACCATATTCCTTCTACAATCAGTTGTAGGATGACCAATACTTCCACAGTTAGAACACTTTGCAACGGTCTTTCCGCAATCAAAAGACTTATGACCCAATTCACCATACTTGTAGCACTTAATGGGACCAGAACTCCCTCCTCCAGATCTCCTATCAAAGTTTCCCCTATGTTTACCCTTATCAACAGGCGTCACATAAGGTCCACTCCTTACTTGCTGCTTTCCTTTCCTCTCATTCACACTCTTATAATGTGTGGAACGAGCTTTGCTATCTTCCTCAAAAATTCTACAACATTCGATCAAATCCGAAAACCTTCGAATTCTTTGATATCCCACCGTTTGCTTAATCTCAGGGCGCAAGTCATTCTCATACTTAATACACTTAGAGAATTTCGCTGTAACCGCAGCATAATGAGGATGAAATTGAACCAATTCCACAAACTTAGCCGTGTAGTCCACCAAAGACATATTGCCTTGCTTCAACTCAAGAAATTCCATTTCCTTCTTCCCCTTCACACTCTCAGGGTAATACTTCCTCAAGAATTCCGTACGAAACAAATCTCAAGTGATTGTTTCCTCATTCACCTCAATAACTTATTGCATACCGACCCACCAGTCGTCGGCTTCTTCCCTCAGCATGTGAGTCCCAAGTCTCACCTTATTTCCTTCAGCACAATTCATAACTCTGAAAATTCTTTCGATCTCTTTCAGCCAAATCTGAGCACCATCAGGATCAAATCTTCCTTTAAAGACCGGCGGTTGATTCTTCCTGAACTCATCATTCTCATTCGCATTCGGCGCACCCTGCTCCGCTGTAGCCATTGCTTCCATGGCAGCAGCCATCGCAGTATCATTTCTACCAGCCATATTCTGATCAATCCAGAAAGAACAACAAGGTTAAACCACAGCTTAACCGTTAACAGCAATAAGACAGACACAACTGACTCAACACTGGCTCTGATACCACTTAATGTAACACCCCCTTTCTATACCCCCAAATAATACAAATAATCATTTAGGCACATAATATAAATTCCATCAGAGTATAATTGCATCATGGCATAAAAGAGGTATGTCACATTATTCATGAAATAAAAACATAGCATACAACACCTGCTCGACATATGATATGCAACCGTTGGGTAACTTTAAAAACATAGGAACTTAGTCCTCACACCCACATCTCAATATTTAGAATAAAAGCGGAAAATCTAAACATTGAATCACAACCGGCATGTATTTACATATATACATATTCACATCATCCACTGTAATTCATCAACAACATTCATGTTTACATAAACATGCATCACCAAAAATACATATACAAATGTATTCATCAAAAAGAGTCAAAGGCTTCCTAGCTACCCGGTGTTACATATCAGAGCCATCTGACCAAAACAATGAAGACACACTTCACAAAAAGGGATCACCAACATACCTAATCTGCAATGACTCATAGAGCATCATAAAATAGCAGAAGAGTGAGAAATACTATCATAATCATCAATGCATATATATATATATATATATATATATATATATATATATATATATATATATATATATATATATACACACACACACACACACAAACGTAGAATACGCATATTCCTCATTTCTCACCACAATTCATCATCCCTCATCATATACACCGCAATGTATAAATAAACAAATAATGGATAGTCACCAAACATATTTATCATGCACATATCCATAATTCCAATCAATCTATATAAACATACACAATATGTTCATTTCGTCACCAATTCACATAAACATCTACATTCATGTTTATTTCACCAATGCATCATATAAAGATGATAAATGCAACTCATAGAGACCGACTCCCGACTCTATGCAGATGCAAATGCGGTACCGACTCATTCAGCAGTTTCAATTGAATAACCAAAATGGAATCATCGCTCGTTACCGAAGTAACTCCCCGTCGGGCCTACGATGTTCACCCATCGCTCACGGTCCACATGGGCACACGATGTTTCAGGATTGCTCACACCCCACACGGGCACACAATCCAATTGGTCACACCCCATATGGGCACACAACCATTCTGCAGATTCTACGCGGAATCAATTATAAACCATCACTCACACCCCACATGGGCACACGAGGTTTCTGCAGATCCTACGCGGGATCAATCAACACAAGAATGCATATCATGATGCTTCACATGCAAAATGACTCATGACATTCTTGAAATGCATACATATTCGCAAATATATTTCTCATGCATTCTTCATATATTAACACATACAATCATCATACATTCACCATGTATATTGTATTCATCATTCATCACATTCATCATGCATTTTTTTTTATCAATTTTAAACAATGCATATAAATTTCCCAACGGCCACAATTCACAATCGATTCATAATCTAGGATTCATGCCATACGGCTACCCACAACACAACAATCGACAACACACAAGTTACTCATGCAAGAAGAGGTCGATCGCAACCGAACACTCTAGTTAATTAAGCTTCACTCACTTAAAATCATTATTTTCGATTAATCGGTAAAATCGGCTAAAATAATATTTCTTTTCACCAAGTTATAGAACATATTATTAGCTTCAGTTTGATATAAAGAACGACAAAATCCGATAAACGGTGAAGAAGTTATGAATTTTCGAAGTTTTGAAAAATAATATTTTCTCACACTTACAGTTTTAATCGATTAACGTATATGGTTAACCGGTTAACACCTCCAAAAACTCAGTTTTTAGGCCCCCAACACTGTGTTAATCGGTTAACGTATATGGTTAACCGATTAACACCTGAAAAACTTAGAAAAACAACTACGGGTTTGCATCAAAAACCCCCAAAAACCCGACCGATTTAATTATTTTCTCCCGATTAAATGTCTATTCACCATTACCAATCATATAGGAACAAGTTAGGATCACAAAACACGAATTTTACGACTTCCGATTTTCATCCAAAATCTTAACTTCAAATTATCCAAAAATGGTAAAACTCACAATATCGCTCGATTTTCACCAAACTAGTTCCAATAGTCTTAGTCTAACATCCCCCGACTAAACTACGTAACTTATTCCCGATTCTAACCGTTCAAACATCGGTTTCTATCGATTTTTCCTAATTCGACCTAAATGGAAAAATATGTGAAAACAACCAAACAAAACCAAACACATACATGATTCATACACAATGATAAGATGATAGAATTTCACACCCTTACCCGATTATCCGATTCCTAGCAAGCGTTCTTGATGATTTCCCAAA